ATACTTTAAAGCAAATCCCACCCAGATATTTTCTTTTTTTCCCCATAAATACTTCACTATTGAAGTACTTTATACATTTTGAAGTAGTCTATTATTTTTTATGCACATATTTATATTTTTTCTTGATTTCACTGCATTTGGAACACATTCATTTTTAACAAGAGCGAGATAATGTTGTTTATGCTATTTTTAAGTATCATTTTCTTTTAATTGTAAAAATAATAAAATCATATTATAAAAAAAGGAAATTACCCACAATTCCTCACCACTTAATATTAAAAATTTAATATTTTAGTATACTTTCTTCCCATTTTTTTCAATTTACATTCATAATTTTAACCTAAGTGGGATCCTCCTGATTATGCACTTTTAAAATTATGAATCTGTTTTAATTATAAGAAAATAATATGATTATATATTTTAAAAAGGAAGAGAAAAATATCACCCATAATCCCACTACTCAATTATAATCATTGTTAACGTTTTGGTGTATTTGCTTCCAATATTTTTTCTATGTACAAACAATTTTAACAAAAGTGGGAATATATTATTTATGGAGTTTATTAACTATAAATTTATATTTACTCATAAGACGAATATTGCATAACACAGAGAAAAGAGAAAAAATATCCCTCATAACCTTACCACCTTACTGGCACTGTTATCATTTTGATGTTTTCCTGACCATTGCATATTCATACATGGCTGGAAACACAGTGGGTATTTAATTTTGTACTCTATTGCCCTTTGCAACTTGGTATCATATTTATGCAACTTTGTACCCAGCATCTTTTTATTTAATATTTTGTTGTGAACATTTTCCTATGAATAAAGAGTTTTTTAAAATCAGGATTTTTTATTTCAAAATATCAAGGGAATACCAATGTTTTTGTTACATGGTTTCTGTGTTTGTGTGAAGCTACCAAAGGACCCTCCCTTGCCATGGACATTTAGGTTGCTTTTCATTTTTCACTATTATAAACAATTCTGCTCCAAGCATTCTGGAACAAAAGCGTGTGCTTTTTCACTCTTCCACACACATATCGAGCACATGTTTCTGGAGACTACTCCATAAGTTTATAGGCTGGCCTGTGAAAAGTGGCCATCTTTTATTGGTCCGGAATTTACTCCCCTCATGTGGCTCAGGCAGCCCTTGTTTCTGGAAGGTGAGATTTTGAGAACAAATCTGCATTTTCCTCCCCCTTCCCTTCTGAATTCATAGACCTCCTTCATCTCCTCTCAGTCTGGTTTTTGAATTAATCAGTCAGCAAGTATCACAGAACCTGAAGTGTGGGAGCTGAGGCAGAGATAGGAGGTGAAAAGAGAAGAATCACAAGGCCCAGGACAATACCCGCATTTACTGGCCACTTGCTACACTGCAGGCACCAAACAGGCTAAGCCCTTCCTTCTGATTGTTACAACTCCACAGGGTGGGTTCTATTGTTGTCCCCATTTAACAGATGGGAAAACTGAGGCCCAAAGAAGGAAGCCACTTTGCTGAAGACACAGCTCGTAAATGGCAGAACAGGTATTGAAGGCAAGGCCAGACAGACTCCTGAACCTACATTCTAGCCGGCCTCCTTACCCTCCCCGGCAGCAGGGGATTCGGGGTGAGGGTGAAGACTTTGCAGTCAGTCTGACCCGGATTCAAACACCCGGCCATGTGGCTGTGTGAACTTGGGCAATTCTCGGAGGCTCTGCCTCACCTTTGGTAAACCCTACCCCACACAGGGCTGCCCCGGGAATTAAATGAGATGGCGAATGGGAACATGCCAGGCCCACTGCTGGCAACAGCAGGCCTTGGAGGGTGAGCGCCCCAGTCCTCTGCTGGCTTCGCAAGCTCGCGGGCTAGTTGTCAAGTTAGAGATGAGAGTTCGGCGGAGAGCTCTGAGCTCGCCTGGAGCCGAGTGGCAAGTCAGCGATCAGGGCATATTTACAGAGAAATGCAAATGTCCCTTTTGCTCGCTCTCGGCCTCTGCAAGTAATCTCCTCTCCCATCTCCCCCAAAAGGAAAGGGGTGGCTTTTGTGCTCCAAAGCTGAGTGCTTGAAGCCCCTCTCTTTCCTGCTGCCCGGGAGGTGGGCAATGGAGATGACAGGAAGTCACCAGTGGGGAGGCCCTTTCTGGCCCGCGGGCACAGAGAAAAGTGACGGAGGGCGCTGCTTTTTCCGCCCTGCAGAGGTCCGAATGGGGGAGGGGGCTGGCTGAGGAGCAACTGCTCCGGAGACACTCCAGAGCCAGAGGAACATATGCCTCTTTCTAACAATCGGCCTGGGAGCCATCCAATAGCTGGAGGGCGGATCCGCACCTCCCGGAGCCGGAGCCGGCAGCGCGCACGCCGCGGCGCGTCGCGAGCCGCGCGGGAGCCGGGCCGGGCCGGGCCCGAATTGCCCACGCGCAGCCCGACAGCCCAGAGCTGCTCCTTCTCCACCTCGGACGCGTTTTCTCTCCGGCCCAGGCAAACACCAGGGGGCTCGAGAGTGTGTTGCACGCGCTAGGCCGGCGGGGCGCTAGGGTCCCGGCACATCCCGCCTTCTAGCAGAGGGAGACTGCGCGGCCCCGATCTTTGAGCAAAGTGAGAAAGTGCGACGGTGACGTGTGGGCTGTCGTTGCCACCAGGCTTTGTGTCGGGGCGGGGGAGGGGGTAGGAATGGAGACGCGGTAAATCCATTCTCCAGCTTTTGGGGCTGCAAAATGGGTGTACGCGTCCAGGGCATTTCCAGATGCCCAGGAAGGGCCTTGATCGGTCCCTTCATTTGCTCCCCATCTTTATGTGAGTAAGCCGGTTAGTCTGTCAACAAACAGAACTTTGTTAGAAGAGCAAATAAATGCAGGGCACTTGGGGCTTCTAAAAAAAAAAAAGGAAAGAAAAGAAAAAGACCTTCAGGTCTTCAAATCCAATTAAGAAGACAGAACACATACGTAGTGAAAATGACTTCATGACATCCCCCCCTTTCTTAACATCAGGACCTTTTTTTAAAGAGCGTGTTTTATAAACAGTGTAAACTGAGTAGCTGTTGCTGAAAGGCAGCAATAAGGGGGTGGGGGGAATTGATAGGGGGTAATCCTGGTGGCCTTCCTGTAAGAGGTGAGGTAGGAATTTGTTGGCCACAAAGAACAGGAATTAAGAGAGAAGACCCAGACCTCTTTTCAGCAAGGATTTGTAAGATAACATCCCATCCCAAGAAAGATGTGCTCCCAATGCAAAATGTTTTTCTTGCTAGATGGGAATGATTATATAATCATAATAAAATAACCTGACATCGTGGGAAGGCCGGAGAAATCTCTGCGACCCCTGGGGCGAGCTCTTCCTATCTCGCTGCCTGTTCTTGGCTTTTCTGCCAGCCTCTCGAGCTGCACCTGGCCCCACGGTCCGGTAAAGTAGCATTTCTCAGCGTCGCATCCTGCCAACGTCCTGTCCTGGACGATCACGGGACAGAAACCCTCGAACCCAAGCCTAGCCCAGGACTTCGAGGGAAGCCACCGCTGCTCTACAGGCCCTGCATAAAGCTCTGCCCAGACTCTGGCGACTTTAGGGGAATGAGACCCCCTGCCTCGGCCCTTCAGCGAGGAAGATGGTGCAGCCCAAAGAGGGCAGACTGGCAGAAAACTAAGACCACCCCCGCCAGCCCCTGTTTGTCCCTCCTGCGGGTCATTCCCTGAGCCCAAAGTTCTTCCCCCGACCCCCTGCAGCCCGCTCTGGCCACCCGCTAGACTTAGGTCAGAAAACAGACATTGCAACTCTCCCTCGCCTCAGTGAAATTACTGAGTGGCATTTATTGGGCCAGTCCATGCAGGGCGGCGGGGAGGGCCCGCGCCCCGGGCCCGGCCCCGACAGCTTCGGAAGCCCAGGCGCCGGCCAGGGCTCCGGGCAAGGGGTGCCCGTGGCCTGCCCCGCCGGCCCCAGCCCGGGAGCCGCGGCTTGTCCCCAGGGTTGCGGGACCGGCGGGGCCGCTAGGACTCGGTTCCCCAGCCGGCCCTTCGCTTTCACACGATCCGCGGTGACTGCACCAGCTCGAGCGCCTTTAAAGGGCCACACACGCCAGCCACAGCGATAAAAATGCTCCCGGCGGCACAGCTGCGGGAGGGGACCGCTGAGCTGCCGGGAAGGCTCGCTCGGCGCGGCTGCCCTCTCGCCGCGTGCCCGCGAGGGCTGTCCTCCGCGAGGAGGAGGAGGAGGGCGGAGGAAGGCACAGCACCCGCTCGGGCCCTCCGTGAGTATCCAGTTCAGATTTTGTCACCAACTCGCCCACGAGCCAGGACATGTGCTAATAATGCCCTAAGCCGGTTATAAAGACGTGGAAATTGGGGGGAGAAAAAAAAAGGGGGGAAAGGGTCTGTCCTTCCTGGGATTCCTAGCCGAGGCCAGCCTGCTGCCGTTGGCGTGTGCGTCAGGGCTCTCCGGGCGGCAGCGGGGGCTTGAGAGCCGGGTCCCCCGCGCCGGGAGGGGAGCGCGGTGGCCGCCACCGTCACCGCCCCGGAGTCCGGCGCCGAAGCTGCGGGCGGGCGGCGGGCGGCGGGCGGGCTCGGGCTGCCGGGCTGCGCGCGCGCGGCGGCGGCGGTGCGGGTTTTCCCAGGCGCCCGGGGTCGGGTGGCCACGCGCGGCCGCGGCACTGAGCGCGCCGCTCGCGGGCGCGGGTGCTGCCAGGGGCAGGGGGCTCCGGCGCTCCGCCCGCCCGCGGCTCGCCGGGCTCCGCGCTCCCCTCTCTCCAGGGCAGGCGGCTTCGCCGAGGTAAGCCGGGCCGCCGGGCAGGGCGCTGGGCTGCGCGGCGGGCCGAAGACTGCGCGGAGCGGGCGCGGGCAGCGGCCGGGCGGGCCGGGGGCTCCGGGGGCTTGTTTGCTGGTGAAAGCTGCTCTTCTGGGGCGAGGGGCCGCCGCCGCCCGCCCGCCTGCGCGCCCGCTGCGCCCGCTGCTCCCGGGGCCACGGCGGCACCTTTTCTCCGCGCGCCCGCGCTTTCTCCTGCTCGGCTCGCGGCGACTTTGCTCGGCGCCCGGCCCGCGTCTGCACGCGCCGGCCCGCTGCTGCACAAAGCCCACGTCTCCTTCGGGGCATGCAGGCAAGAGGGGCTCTCGGGCCGAGTCCGGCGCGATCGCCGGATGGAAGTTAGCAAATTCGGGCAACTTGCCGCTACTACCCAGGCGACCTCCCCTCCCCTCCCCCCACACGCCCACACACGCCCCCCGCGCACACACCCCTCTCCCTATAAATGCGGGCGGCCGAGCAGCGCGCTGAGTCTCTGCCTCGCGGAGCGCCGGACTGGGAGTCAGACAGACCTGGCTGCGAATCTCGGCTCCGCCACTTTCTAGCGCTGTGACCTTGGGCAAGTTACCGCACCTCTCCGGGCCTCTCTCACTCTTCCCGTCGCGGGGTGGTGGCACCGGGCGCGGGCGGCTTGGCTGGCGGGGTGGGCTCAGCCCGCGGCCGCGTCGGGTGCTCCGCGGGCGCTCAGTAAGTGTTGGCGAGGCGCGGGAGTGGCCGCCGCCGGCCCCGGAGTGCGTCCCCGTGCGCGGAAACACCCCGGGCCCCCAAACTCGCCACCGAGGCCGAGACCCCGCGCCCCTTCCCGCCTGTCCGTCCTTGTCTCTGCGATCAGTTCCTGATCCGGCGATTGCGGGAAGGGACGCTCGGGGCCCTGGTGGCCTGGGTGCTCGCGCCACCGTGCAGGGATGCTCCGGCCGACCCCGGCTCTGGAGGCTCCGTCTGGGATGCGGCGAGGAGGGCGGCCGAGCTGTCCGCAAACAACGGGCCTTTAGTTTTCAGGTGGCGAAACTGACTGGTCTGGGTAGAGCGCGTCCAAGCCAAGCCGCAGTGCTCTTTGGATGTTTAGATTTCTCCTTCTGAGTGACAAAATAGCAATCGAGATGGAGCCATCCGGTTGGTGCCATTTTAACTTTTGGTCCCCCAACAGGTTAAAAGATGAGCTCCCACCCCCACCTCTCTCCCTTATCTTTTCCCTCTCCCCTTCCCACCCTCATCTAGGCGGGAGGCGGCTGCCCGCCCAAGGGCGACTGTGAAGCTAAGGGCGGGCAGCGGGACCGGGAACTGGTGGCCGGGGACCCGCGAGGCACCAGCCGGCGAGGAGGCACTTGTTGCTCTGGGTTTCCCAGCCGCCTCTGGCAGCCGGTTCGCAGTGGTCAGCCCGCGGCTGCGACAGCGGGCTGGGACGTCTCCGCGCTGCCGACTTTTGCCTTCCAGTGGACTAGCGGGTGTCAGGGGGGACAGAAAACTGGGGGAAGCAAGGCCAGGGGTAGCAATCGAAATGTGATCGCCTCTTTAGGCGGATTCATCAACACTTACTGAGCGCCTACGGAGCACAGACCCGGGCGGCGGGGGGTCAGGGCGGGTGGTCGGGCGGTGAGGGGAGGCGACAGATATGAATGGAGACAGGGTCCCTCCTAGCCTGAAGCGGGGGACACATGGTAAAATGGCCTTCCCCACAAACGGATATCGGAACACAGATACTTTTTTCTCGATCTTTCCTTTTTTTTTCCCTCCTCTTCCTTTTTTCTCTTTCTGTTTTCTTGTTGTTATTGTTGTTGCTGTTGTTTTCTTTTGTGCATTCGTGTACCGCGAGGCACAAAGGAGAGGGAAGGCTGGGTGAGAACGGGAAAAGATGGGCAGGGCTCCCCAGACATTTTGCTCAGGACAGGAAAATTGCCTGATACTGATGGTACTGGGGCTCTTGAAGACGACATGCATTAGACTCCTTGTCTGGTGATCACTTGCTTCGAATATTCTAGGGTTGTCTTAGAAGGACCTAGCAACTGATTTTTTCCCCCGTCACAGATTTTCCCCCCCTCCCTTCTTTCTCTATTTTTCTTGCCTCCCCCCCCTCCAAGTGGTGCAAAGATGGTACAGAGAGGTAGTAAGTGGCCACTTTCTAGAAGTGTCTGAGCAGATTCTTAATGACCACTCAGGTGGGGGTGGCGTGGAAAATTCTAGTCTCCTTGGAAAGATTAGAGATTCTTTTTAAGGTCCTCAAGATTCTTTGGACTGGGGGTATTTATAAGTATGCAATTCTATATCTCTAATTGATTATTAAGGCTACAATATATGCAGCTTTTTTAAAAAAATGACGAGTTTTCAATAGTTTCTTTTCTGGTTTTGGGATATTCTTTTGCCCTCATTTCCTTATCCTTTGGCACTTGAGCTGGGGAATGGTTTCTTTGAAAGCCATTTGAGTCATTCCAGGTATGATGATTTGGCCAGTGATCAGGCGAGGCATGCGGGCATAGCAGTGCTGAATCCTGCCCCAGAACCACTGCTACCCAAGTAGAAAGAGATCAAATCTCTTTGCCTCAGTTTCCCTCTGGGAAGAATACTTCCCCCTGTTACTAGAGATGGGTGTGGCTGCGCTCAGAGCTCTGGGGAAAGCTAGGATAGGGGCTTTTGCTGGAGGGGGCTTGACACATGCGGGAAAGCTGGACATTCCTAGCTGCTCTGTCCAGCTTTGGCTGCCTCAGCCCCTAGACTACCCTGACCAGCCTGACTTCTCCCAGGCATGCCCGAGGCAGGGCTTAGAGCCCCAGGACATTTGCTCGTTCTTTCCCTGTGATGCAGCCTCCAGCTTTCAAGGTCTTCCTTGCCCGGACTTCTTCCCACATTCTTTCAGGCCCAGTGGAGGCCCCAGCTCTCCAGCCCAGATGCTAGTAGCCCATTGAGAGACAGTGCAACTGACTCGGGGACATTCCAGGAGCAGCATCACCACCCCACCTCCACACACACCTGACTTGGGATTCAAATCTCTTGCATGAGCAAACAGTCATGGGTGTCCCCTCTTGGCAATGCGGGTAGCTGGCTGCCTTGGGCTGTACCTTTCCTGCCTCAGGCAAAGAAGTTCCAGCTTGATCTCCCTCTGCTCAGAAGGTCTCTGGTCTTGTGTTTAGCCCTGTCACCATCCTTGCCTTGGAGCCAGGTGAGGTTGCCCTGCTTTGGGCTTTGCTAGTGCTTGCTTTGACCTTAACCATGTCTTGTCCCTCACATACAGGACATCAGCGCCAGCTGGCAGCATCATCTCCCGCCAATTTATCCAGCTTCTGCCAAGGTTCTGAAATGCCAACAATGTCAAGGCCTGCACTCGATGTCAAGGGTGGCACCTCACCTGCGAAGGAGGTAATTTTTGCCACTTTACAGATGGAGACACTGAGGCAGGGAAAGACACTTTCCTGGGGTAGTGTCTTTGAGCAGAGAGGAGACAGCAGGGCTATCTCTGGGGGCAAATGACAATAGCTTCTGCCTCCATGTGGTCAAATGAAACCCACTAGGGGTGTGGAAAGATGGTGGGGAAGGGAGCGGAGAAGTCAAACTGGAACAAGACCACTCTGTTGAAGAGATTCAGGTGAGGCTGAGAAGAGAGGGACAAACAGATGCCCTTTTTAGAATGGTGACTTGGAGGGTGGGGGGAGGGGAGGAGGAAAGCAGGGAACCCACTTAGGATGGCAGATGCCCCAGCACTAGAACTCTGGGGTCTAGGAGCCTAATTTTCCAGGGGGTCCTCTTGCTACTTTCTCACCCCTAGCCCCAAATGAAGTGCATGTGGGATGGATTTTTTTTTTTTTTTTTGCTTTCTGCCTTCTGGGTTTGATAAATGGTAAGGGACAAGCCAGGAGCAGATGTGGGATGGATTTTTTTTTTTTTTTTTGCTTTCTGCCTTCTGGGTTTGATAAATGGTAAGGGACAAGCCAGGAGCAGAGGTACTATGGTGTGCCTTTTTTTTTTTTTTTGTCTTCTAGGATGCCAACCAAGAGATGAGCTCCCTGGCGTACTCTAACCTGGGGGTGAAAGATCGCAAAGCAGTGGCCGTTCTGCACTACCCCGCAGTGGCCTCCGTGGCCTCGAATGGAACCAAGGCCAGTGGGGCTCCCACTAGTCCCTTGGGATCTCCAGCTGCGATAGGCTCTCCTACCTCCAGCACTCCCACTAAAACCCCACCCTTCAACCTGCACCCTGCCCCTCACCTGTTGGCCAGTATGCAGCTGCAGAAACTTAATAGCCAGTATCATGGGATGGCCGCGGCTGCCGCCGCCACTCCGGGCCAACCTGGGGAGGCAGGGCCCCTTCCAAACTGGGGCTTCGGGGCTCAGGCAGGAGGGGCGGGGTCACTCTCTCCTCCTACCGGTGCCCAGAGTCCTACCATCATTGATTCGGACCCGGTGGATGAGGAGGTGCTGATGTCGCTGGTGGTGGAGCTGGGACTGGACCGAGCCGATGAGCTTCCGGAGCTGTGGCTGGGGCAGAATGAGTTTGACTTCACTGCGGACTTTCCATCTGGCTGCTGATGCCAGTGTCCGCAAAGATGGAGGAATAAAGCCACCAATTCTGTTGTAAATAAAAATAAAAGTTACTTACAAAGAGATGGGCCAACTAGAGGTGTTCTTCACTGAGATCTAAAGGTGTGCAGTGTGGTCTGATGATGTCCTTTTGGCCATTCTGAGGCCTGGGCGGGGTTGCAGGTAGCTAGGGCTAAATGGGGTGGGGGGAGGAGGGAGAAGGGGTGGAGCGGGCTCTTCACAGAATTCCGCCTGCCACCAGCACTCCTGTTATCTCGGGAGTCAACTACCTAGCCTTATTGCCCTAAGACCCCAGGAACCCTGTTCTACCCAGGGTTGAATATAGTGGTTGGTTGGAGGCGCTCTTGGAAGAGAAACTGAGGCAGATCCTTCTGCCGCCTTGTCACTTGTACATCCAAATCTAAAGACACATCCCTGGCTACATGGTACACACTTCACCAACTCCTAAAGGCCACCCCACCCACTCTAGCCCCAAGTTTTGCCTATGTGGAATAGGACCTAAGGGTCTTAGGATGTGGGAACTCAGATTTCTCTGGAAAATTGCAAAAGCCATCATTAAAGTGGGATTCTAGATGCCTTCTTCAAACCCCTCACACGGCTACTCAGCCCTCTTAAGCCCAGGGCACTCAGAGAAGCTCTGAGTGTCCCTTAACTCCTACCTCCCTGGTCCCTCCTGTTTCTTTAAGCTGGCCTCTCCAGTTTAGAGAAACAGATCAGGACTGGGCTGGACAAGTTCAGCGTTTGGAGATATATCCCATTGATTCGCTGCTCAGCAGGCAGTGGCAATGCACTGGATCTTGGCCTTGTAGGGCCCTAATAAAGCCCTGTCCTCAACGTTGTCACAGCCCAATGGCCTGGAGACTTCTCTGTCCACATTTCAGACCCTTCAAGACTTTCTTCCTTGAACAGTGAAAACGACTAATCAGGGCCACTCAGGACCAGCGTCAAGCCTGCACTTTCAAAAGAGGCCATCTAGGCCGGGCGCGGTGGCTCACGCCTGTAATCCTAGCACTCTGGGAGGCCGAGGCGGGTGGATTGCTTGAGGTCGGGAGTTCGAAACCAGCCTGAGCGAGACCCCGTCTCTACTAAAGATAGAAAGAAATTAATTGACCAACTAAAAGTATATATACAAAAAATTAGCCGGGCATGGTGGCGCATGCCTGTAGTCCCAGCTACTCGGGAGGCTGAGGCAGGAGGATCGCTTGAGCCCAGGAGTTTGAGGTTGCTGTGAGCTAGGCTGACCCATGGCACTCACTCTAGCCTGGGCAACAAAGCGAAACTGTCTCAAAAAAAAAAAAGAGGCCATCTAGCAAAGGTGCTTTATTGGATTTGGCACTCTCTAAATATCTGCTCTTGGCAGATCGCTTTGCTAGACACTGGGAGCGTGGATCAGACCATATTTGCACCTTTCAGGGGGTTCCCCATCTCGGGAGAAATAGGCACAAACAAATCACAACAAAAACGTACTTCCTAGAACGCAGGTGCTATTCCATCCCAGAAAAGGAAACAGCTCCATCTGCCTGGGAAGTCTGGGGAAAGCTTCCTGGTGTTGAACTGGTTCCTTTGTTTGTTTTTATACCTCCCAGCTAATAAATACATGATACGATCTCCTTGTAAAAAGTAGAAACTTTATTAGATAAGGCTAAAGTACCCTTTGACCAACTCTCTCCCTCAATCCTGATTGCCTCTGGACCAATACAGAAGTAGCAACGATCTATCTGCCTGTGCTGCATCCTTGCTGGCTTTGCTGTGTTTTTTTGTTTGTTTGTTTTTCTTGAGACAGTCTTGCTTTGTTGCCCAGGCTAGAGTGAGTGCCGTGGCGTCAGCCTAGCTCACAGCAACCTCAAACTCCTGGGCTCAAGCGATCCTCCTGCCTCAGCCTCCCGAGTAGCTGGGACTACAGGCATGCACCACGATGCCCGGCCAATTTTTTCTCTATATATTAGTTGGCCAATTAATTTCTTTCTATTTATAGTAGAGATGGGGTCTCACTCTTGCTCAGGCTGGTCTCGAACTCCTGACCTCGATCAATCCACCCACCTCGGCCTCCCAGAGTGCTAGGATTACAGGCGTGAGCCACCTCGCCCGGCCTTCGCTGTGCTTTTACATAAAGACTTACCTCCTATAGAAAGAATTAGGTTTTAAAATAAGACTCGAGTCAACCAAGGGAAGAATGAGTGAGGGCAACAGCTGTTACACAGGTGCAGGTTCATGAAAAGGGGCCACAGTGGTGAAAATCCAGGAGGTGAGCGTGCAGGCAGGTGGAGGGCGTGGGAGGAAAGAGGCTGGAGAAGGTGCGAGAGGCAGAGCGCACAGCCTTCTGGGAGCACGCCTCCGTCCTCAGAGCCCCAGTCCTGCGGCTCAGGGAAAATCTCTGGAGGTCGTAGGAAAGCAAGTAATCAACCAGCTTTGATTTTCATGATGATTCCACTAAAAGTGGATAGTTAGATTCATCTAAGGCTGGAAACAGGGAGACATGGGGTTGTAGGGGACTGGGGAGGCTGGGGAAGGAAAATGGAAAAGGAAGAAAGGAAGCCTGGGAGAAGGTGGGGAGAGGAGGGCGGGCTCGAGGGCCTGGAGTCTGTGAGGAGAAAAATGGAGGAACAGGACTGGGGGAGGCAGGAAGGGAAGGGCTAAGGATGGAGGCACGGGTGAGTCTCAGAATCCACACAGCTTGAAGTGACACAAGGACAGCGTGTGGACACAGGGGTGGGGTGTGAAGCAGAGCGGCAGGATGTGGAAGGAGCTGAACCCTAAAATGCTGGAGGGTCCCAGGGTCCCTCCGCTGCTGGGGCCTTCAAAAAACATGATTGTGGCCAAACTAAAGAAGGCAGCAGGCTGGATTCAGTGCCTGATCCCCAGCTTGCCTCCCCTGATCTCTGTGAGCTCTGGAGCCCCCAGGGTGACAGTCGCTTTTGGGGTAGAGAGAGGCTCAAGCCAGGAAGCAGTGCCTTCGTGAGGGGAAGGGGCTGTCTTGGAATTGTGGAGGTGACAGGTATGCAGTCAGGAGGCAGGTGGTGGCAGAGAATGGTATGGGCACCTACTGTGTATTAATCAGGGCTCTCTAGAGAAACAGAACCCATAGAACATATACATATATAATATATTATATAGAGAGGGGTGGGGGGAGACTTGGCTCACAAGATTATGGAGGACAAGAAGTCCCACGGTTTGCCAAGCTGGAGAACCAGGAAAGCCAGTGTCCAAAGGCCTGAGAAGGTTTAGAGCACTGATAGTGTAAGTCTTTTTTTTTCTTTCTTTCTTTCTTTTTTTTTTTTTTGAGACAGAGTCTCACTGTGTTGCCCAGGCTAGAGTGAGTGCCATGGCCTCAGCCTAGCTCACAGCAACCTCAAACTCCTGGGCTCAAGCGATCCTCCTGCCTCAGCCTCCCGAGTAGCTGGGACTACAGGCATGCGCCACCATGCCCGGCTAATTTTTTCTATATATATTAGTTGGCCAATTAATTTCTTTCTATTTGTAGCAGACACGGGGTCTCACTCTTTCTCAGGCTGGTTTCGAACTCCTGACCTGGAGCCATCCTCCCGCCTCGGCCTCCCAGAATGCTAGGATTACAGGCGCGAGCCACCATAGAGGTGCTTCTGAATGAGGAGGGAGAGCAAGAACTATGGCAAGCCTGCCTCTGGGTGCTGGTGGCCAGAAGTGTGGCCAGCTGAACAGTCTCCTCTTCAGAGAGCTTGGAGGCAGATGGGGCACAGGACACCCTGCGGGGAGGGCCAAGGCCCTGCTGCGGGGAGAAGAAGACAGGAAACTCCACAGAGCACAGTGGGGGCAAGGCAGGCAAGTCACCGTCCTGCCCCACCATTTCATGTTCAGACCCCTAATAGCACAACCAGACACGCACATTCGTTGGATTCCCAGAAGATTCCTGAAGCCAACTCCAAGTCTTTGGCCTGGGCTAGGCGCTGGGGCCTAGGAGGCCTGATGCACACAGGTAAGAACACTGCCTACCCTCAAGGAGCTTGCAGCCGGGAACAGATGGAGACGTTGACCAAGAGTGCCTCCTAGAGCCCAGGAGCTGTGCTGCACCCTAGGGACAAATTAGAGAGACACTGCCCCTGCTCTGAAGCAACTTGCAGTTCAGTTAGTGGAGACATCCATAGGCTTGAAAGATGAATTGGAGGCTTCCAGGCAGGGGGGCAACTGGAGCACAACAGAAACATCAAATCAAGGCACGGCTGAACTAGAATTAAACATTGGAAAGCCCATGGCTTTCTCACGGAAGGGTGGAAAGTCCAGCAGCCTGACTTCCTCCAAGGGCAGAGGATTGAGAGAAGGTAGGTTGGAATAAGATCCTGCAGTGATTTTTACTCTACCCCATAGATGACGGACAGCCTCTCATCCACAAACATGGACTGAGCTCCTGCTATGTGCCAGGCACAATGCTAAGCACTGAGAATATGTGGTGAGCACATGGTCCTTACTCTCATGAAAGTTCAGGTTTAGCAAAGAAGTAGACAATAGTCCACTCTGGGAGGCCGAGGCAGGCGGATTGCTGGAGGTCAGGAGTTCGAAACCAGCCTGAGCGAGACCCCGTCTCTACCAAAAGTAGAAAGAAATTAATTGACCAACTAAAAAAATTTTTATATATATATATATATGCAAAATGAATGAGCCGGCGGGAGGTGGGGAAAGGGCATTTATTGAAACCTTAAAATTTGTACCCCCATAATATGCTGAAATAAAAAATAAAAAAATTTTTAAAAAGGTTAAAAAAAAAAGAGCCAGGCATAGTGGTGCATGCTTGTAGTCCCAGCTACTCGGGAGGCTGAGGCAGGAGGATCACTGGAGCCCAGGAGATTGAGGTTGCTGTGAGCTAGGCTGATGCCACGGCACTCACTCTAGCCTGGCCAACAAAGTGAGACCTGGTCTCACAAAACAACACAAAAAAATGTTACCATCAGGAATAGGAGTTAAATAAAATCTAATAAATTAAAGGTGTCAAAAAAATCCATGCAGACAATTAACCAATTAACAAATGATGAGAACGTATAGGAAGCAAACAGGTGCTAGAAGAGTTGTAAGGGAAGTTAAGTTCACCTGCATC